GCTGAAGGAGATTCTGAATATGTGCATGAAAAGTTAATGAAGACTAAGATGTGTTATTAAGGAATAAAGCATTGGTTTAGAGGATAACGTATCAAGTTCACTTTCGGATATGTTAAGCTTTCAATTTCTGTGAAGCATCAAAAGCAGGCATTGAGGCAAAATTTTGGGTAGTGGATGACAAATGGAGCTGAAGGACTTTCTGAACTAATGAGATGGGTAGAACAATGGAGATTGCAGTAGAAATTCCGTAACACAAAACGCCACCTAAGGAACTGGTATAAAGTGATGTTAACAGTGGAGCTGGAGTCCCAGGTGACACCATTACCAGTTTCCGTGAGTAGAAAAAATAAAGATATCTGAGCAGGTAATATCTTAGGAAAGGGAGTTAAGGGCTGATGGGGTGACTGAGCAGTCTTTGCTGCCAGGTCTGATGATCTAAGTTTGAGCACCAGGCTTTAAATGGTAATAGGCAAGTACCATATTCTTGCAAGTTGTCTGGAGACCTTTATACACGCAACTCACATGTAAACACACAGACATAAATACATATACACACCCTTCCTTCCTTCTTTCCTTCCTTTGTTCCTTTCTTCTCTTTCTCTCTCTCTCTCGCTCCCTCACACACACGCACACAAATAAATAAATAAATAAATAAATAAATAAATAAATAAATGTGGATTTTACAAAGTAACCTGGGTCAACTAATTCAAGCGTAAAGTTTTCTTTCTGCATAGCTGAACACATCTTTTCAAGGCATCTTATGCTTGGAGTGTTACAGCTCTATGTCACAAGTGAACATGTTTATATTATAAAACTATATTGATTTCTATATATGCTTGTGCAAGATCTTTGTTTTAAAAAATCAATGCAAAGTCTTTCCTAAGACAAGGCAAATAATTCACGTGACTTAGCAGGGAGGCAGAGTGATTAGACTTCATAATTTTAGAAAAGTGAAAAAAATGTGGCAATTTTGTGAGGTGACAGGAGTGTTCATTATTGCAATGATCATTTTACAATATAAAGCATAAAATAGAGCTCTGCTTATTTGTCTGAGGAAAGGGTTATATGTGTAGCTTGTTTAAAATTAAACTTGGGTACAAATAGAAGGATTGTTAGCACAATGCTCTGTGCACTGTTGTAGAGCCCTATCCCATTTGAAGAAAGCCAGGCTGAATATCTATTGGTGTAGGAGCTGAACATCTAATGGTGTAGGATGTCCTTCTGTATTTGTCCTGCTTTCATTGGTTTAATAAAGAAACTGTCTTGGCCTCATTGATTGGGCAGAACTCAGGTAGGCGGGGAAGAGAGAACAGAATGCTGGGAAGAAGGGCAATGTGGCAGACACCATGAAACTCCTGTCTGAGACTGACACTGCTTAGGATCTTTCCCAGTAAGCCACGACCTCGTGGTGATATACAGATTGGTGAAAATGGGTTAGATCAGGATGTGAGAGTTGGCCAAGAAGAGGCTAGATATAATGGGCCAGGCAGTAATTTAATTAATACAATTTCTATGTGGTTATTTCGGGGTTAAGCTAGCCAGGTAGTGGGATGCGATCTGCTCCTCCTACAACAATCTATGTATGGGTAAGAGGCTTACTTGGGCTTTTTGTGTTAAACCACTGAGTAAGTACTTCAGTCCACACTGGCATATTAGGTGGATGGTGATTTTAAAGAATCAATGATGTTATTTATGCCAAGCAAAGATAAACACAACAACACATTGCCATTTACAATGTAATATCTTAAATAGGAAAATTCATATTGTGAAAATTCTCCCACATAGGAAGTCATTAAGTCATCCTATTTTGTCATGAAAACTACATTTCTTAATGAAAGAAATATTTTGAGGGGAGACAGGGGAGATTTTTACTAGATTAGAGAATTACAAGGACTCTAGCCTGGACCGAGCAGGAGAAGCATTTCCACCATAGATGTTTATTCTCTTTACACTTGTGCAGCTTCATCCAATGTTTCTACAGCCCTGCTCAGTAGGAATTCTTTCATATTCTGATCACTTCTGAGTTAGAGCAGTCTGTACCACTCCAAATTGGAAAGCTGCCCCTGAGCTTCTGAATCAAAACAAACAGCAAGGACAGTAAGAATCCAGAACATCAGAAAACTTCCTTTAGCCCAGGTTCAGTCTGACATCTGCTATTGCTCCATCTACACCAAATATTTATGTATATAAGCATAATAATCTAAAATTAGATTTTCCTCTCTAATTTTTTCTAAAACTAGCATTTCATTCATTGGCTCTTCTTCAGAAGCATTTTTGGTAATAGTGTTTCCTGCTGAAGTCTGCATAGACTGCCGTGTCTGTTGAATAAACTCGATTATTACGTGTACTGTTCAGAACTTTGCATGATAATTTGCATCAATACTGCCAGAAGTAGGCTTTCCTCCCCTAGAAAACAAGTATGCCAAGAAAACATTATGAATTTTCATTTTTGTCTGTTATATTTTACCTCTAGATATATTCTAGTATTATGTTTAAGTGTGGTGATTCTTTTTTCATTTAGGACATGTTCTGCTAATAATGTGATCTAATACCTTACAATGGTATTGAAAGGAGGCAGCTAGTTAGTTCCCAGCAGCTCAGACCCCCAAAATAATCACACAGAAGCTATATTATTTAAATGACTTCTTGGCGCATTAGCTCTAGCTTCTTATTGGTTAACTCTTACATATTAATTTAATGCATCTCCAATAATCTGTGCATCACCACGAGGTCGTGGCCTACCAGCAAGGTTTCAGTGCATCTGTTTCTGGTGGGGCTACATGGCTTCTCTCTAAACTCTGCCTTTCTTCTCCCAGCATTCAGTTTAGTTTTTCTTGCCTACCTCTATTCCCTGAACAGGCCCAAGATGGTTTATTTATTAAGCAATGATATTCACAGAATACAGAGAAGAATCTCTCTTCACCTCCTTTTTTCTGTTTAAATAAAAAGGAAGATTTTAACTTCAACATACTAAAATTACATAAAACAAAACAGATGTCAAGCAAGAATCATAGTTTCTATACCTCTAACTATAAATTCTTCAATTCCATCAAAGACTCCAGGACATAATATTAGCTAAGTAAACAGGATATGTAATATTCAAAACTCTGGAATTGACAGAGACATCAATTGAAAGAGACTGAACAGTCACCCAAAGTTCTTCTTTACTATTGGGGCATCCATTTTCAGCCTACACACCCATAGTATCTGTCAGACTTTTCCATAAAGCAGAAAATTTCAAAAATAGTTCTGCCTATACTGGCAATTTGTCAGTCACTTTCTTGTGTATCCTGCAGAATGTCTGGCAGACTCTTTGATGAAGCAGGAACTCAGAAGGATGGTCTCACATTTAGGCAAGTTCAGCAGTCCTTTCTCTGTGGGTCCTGCATGTCCAGTTCATAAAATAGTCCAGGAAAGAGCAATTTCTTACCCACATGACTAACCAACTCCAAAGGAGCCTCTTTGAAGCCCATCATTCTCTTGAAGAAGATTGGTGCTGCCAGGAGCAGATAAATCTCACTATCATGAAAAGTCCTAACTTCTTAAAACATTTTTGTCCTAACTTGTGTCTTTATTTTTTTATTGATTTTTATTGAGCTCTACATTTTCTCTGCTCCCTGCCTTGCCTCTCCCCTCCTCTTCAATCCTCCCTCAAGGTCCCCATGCTCCCAATTTATTCGGGAGATCTTGTCTTTTTCTACTTTCCGTGTAGATTAGATCTATGTAAGTCTTCTTAGTTTCCTCATTGTTGTTTAAGTTCTCTGGGATTGTGGTTTGCAGGCTGTTTTTTTTTTTTTTGCTTTATGTTTAAAAACCAACTATAAGTGAGTACATGTGATAATTGTTTTTCTGTGTCTAGGTTACCACACTCAAGATAATGTTTTCCAGTTCCATCCATTTTCCTGCAAAATTTAAAAAGTCATTATTTTTTTCTGCTGTGTAGTACTCCATTGTGTAAATGTATCACACTTTCCTTATCCATTCTTCGGTCGAAAGGCATTTAGATTGTTTCCAGGTTCTAGCTATGACAAACAATGCTGCTGGGAACATAGTTAAGCACATGTCCTTGTGGCACGATTGAGCATCCTTTGGATATATACCCAAAAGTGGTATTACTCGGTCTTAAAAAAGGTTGTTTCCTAATTTTCTAAGAAATCACCACACTGACATCCAAAGGGGCTGTACCAGCTTGCATTCCCACTAGCAATGCAGGAATTGCAACTCCATCATAAGTTGTCATCAGTGTTTTTGATCTTGGTCATTCTTACAGGTGTAAGATGGAATCTCGGAGGTGTTTTGATTTGCATTTCTCTGATGGCTAAAGATGTTGAACATTTCCTTAAGTGTCTTTCAGCCATTTTAGATTCTTCTGTTGAGAGGTCTTCCTTTAGGTCTGTACTTCATTTTTTATTGGATTATGTGTTCTTTTGATGACAAATTTCTTGAGTTACTTGTATATTTTGGAGATCAGACTTCTCTCTGATGTGGGCCTAGCGAAGATCTTTTCCCATTTGGTAGGCTGTCATTTTGTCTTGTTGATCATATCCTTTGCTTTACAGAAGCTTATCAGTTTCAGGAGGTCTCACTTATTAATTGTTTCTCTCGGTGTCTTTGCTGCTGAGGCTATATTTAAAACATTTTAGATGCCATATTCTGAAGGTCTCAGAAAGATTTGAAGAATACCTAACTATCTGAAATACATCTCTATATATCTAGAAAATCTAACTAACATCACTACAAGCTGGACTATTATAGATGAAAATCTATTTACCTGTATTTCTTAATTATACATTCACAATACCTTAATTAAGAGCAGAAATATATATATATATATATATATGTATATGTATATGTTATATACATATAACAAAATTGACCTCAAATTCATATCAATAAACCAAGATTCATGCCAATGCAAATCTCTATAGCACAATGGTATGTGTCAATTCATTCCTTCTGGTTATCACTGTCTTTGCTGATGATCTCTTCTCCCATTTCAGGGTGAAACAAAGATCTTAAAGCTAAAGAATCTTCGACCTCAGGACTATGCTAACTACAGCTGCATTGCTTCAGTGAGGAACGTGTGTAATATTCCAGACAAGATGGTATCATTTAGACTTTCCAATAAAACAGGTATGGAATTGTCACTGTATTTTATATGCGTGTTTTCTGAAACTAGTTTTTAGAAAGCTTTTTAACCATCTTCCAGGCCAGTTGATGGCTACAGATGAAGAGAGTCATGATTTTCCCCCAGAAATGTTTGATATACCTCTAAACAAGGAAAAATAACACAAAGAGACTGTGTGATGTTACTATGTATGGAATAAAGAAAATTTAATATTTTAAAATATTGTAGTCATAAGTTTTACAAATTAGCTTATGTGCCATTTAAAGAGAGTTTTGAGGAGCATTGGATTTTTCATATAAAACTTTACCATCTTATTTGCTGAAAATGTTTTACGGTTGCAAAGCTAAATAAGACTCATTTTTTGCTATTTTTTTAAATGAAAAATGTAATGGGTAAATTCAACCAGGTTTCATCAGGAGAGTTCTTTTGTACAAGAAAGAATTAATGTGTTGATATGTCTAAAACATCTAGAAAATACATTGTTTCTTCTCCCAGCAAAGAACTGATCAGCAAATTCCAGTCAACTTATTTACTGAAAGGATTTGAATTTAAGATTTTATAGAAATAGTTTCCAAAGTACATTTGTACTTTTCTTTTGTATCTGTTTCATTTATTTGCATCTGTTCAAACAAGTCTCTAAAACTTGAAATGACTATTCTTTTATTCTTTCATTTATTCTTCAATAATTTTTTGAGATTCTACTGTGTATCAAAATTGCTGTGCGAAGGAATATTGACTAAATGGCCATACAGTAGAAAATGCTGTATTAATCACAGGGTAAAATTCAGTCGAGGCAAATGTAAAAATAATGTGTGATAAAAAAATCAGCTTTACTAACTAATAAGGGTATAAAATATTTCATAGAAAATGTTTCAGAAGTACCATGGACACAAAAACTGTTTAAGGACCAAAACATCAAAACTTAAACTTAATATTTCATGTTGCCAAAGTCTAGAGATTTGCTATTTCACAATTCATGAGATGGGTAAGTCTGACGGACTCTTATGCTTGAGGAGTTATTTAGGCTGAAGGATGACCAGCACTTTAGTTTGCTTTGAGTTACTGAAAAAAAATTCAAGCTGAAGTCAGAGTGTTTTATTAGATACAAATAACTATGTCTTACTTCATCGACAATATTAGAGTGGAAAGTGACAGAATCCTTAAAGACCATGGAAGCAGCTAGTTTTCTTTCTTTTTTTTAAGGCTTGTTGCTAGAATGACTGATAATAAGAAGAGCGATGGCTGCTGTTTTTCTAGAGGCGTGGTTTTTCCAGATTACAAATATTCCACTGAAACTTTCAGCGTTCTGTCATTTCCCCCCCACACACACACACTAAAGTATATGGCAAAGCAGAAAACAAATGATAAGCTTCTTTATAAACCATGTTTCAGTTGATCATCTTACATTGGCATTTATTACAAATGAGTATTGAAACTGTGGAAAAAGATTGGGGTTATGGTACTTATTTAGGGCTTCTAATAACTGCAATCAGACACATCATTTGCCTGACCTTTGAGAGGTCAGACCATCCATGTATACTTGTTTCCCATCTGGCTGTGCTCAGATTTGGGAAGGTTTGTGCATTTTAGTTACATGAAATCATAGTAGCTTCCAAAATGTATCAGGAGTAACTCATCTCAGACCATTTTCATGCAAGTGGATATGTAAAACAATAAGGCCCACATACTGTTCTTCTGACATGAAAGAGAAGCATGAAAATAAGGGATATAATCAATGTATCATTGTGAATGTTGCAATAGGTCTGGTTAATGTCTTCTGTAATAAATACACCTTTAAAATATAAATTTGGAGATTTTAGTCCTAGTAGAGAACAAACAACAGATAAGTATAAATTTACTATGAAAAAAATTTTGATTAAAATCCATGTGGTCATTTGAACTTGTTATGAGTATCAATCTGAAGGCCTGTTTATACAATACTCAAATGACATAATGAACTAATATAGAAACAATATCCTCATTGATAATTGTTATCCAAAGTTCGTTCTTATAGCAAAGCAGTTTAATTGTGAGTAGAATACTGGGTCCATTCTATACCTGCTGAAGCACGATTTTGATGTGAGACCTAGGAATATAGAATTTGAAATAAGTTTAAATGATGGTTTTGGATGAGAAGATAATGTTATTGTTATCATGGTATTTTAATGAACTCATTCCATTCTGTACAGATGCGCTTTAGTTAAAGAAATCAAGTTGCTTGCGCATTTACCAAGAATCATTTGAAAGGTCATAATCATCTACACATTACCCAACACTGGGTTGTCCTGACTTTCTCAGAATGAATTAGCATTGCAGTTCAAGTCCAAATCAAGTTAAAGAAAATTTTCAGTATGATTCTCAGTGATGACATACTATAAACACATGTCTTGTCACAGTATATATTGCATTTATCCCAATTTTCCTAACTCTGTAGTGATCATTCATACCACGTTATATAAAAGGTATAAAGTAACATTTTTATTTATCCCTGTCACTCATACTGACCAAGTGACACAGTCCTGTGGCTGATTCCAGAAATTGATGGTCTTAATCTCATTTTGAAGAAACATTACATTAGTCCTTTTCTGGTAAACTATTGATGCAATTTCCTTTCTCATAGTTCATGGAAATAATCCACTTAGATGTGTAAATTCATAATCTCAATAAATAAATGTGTATTTTGAAATGATCATAATTATGATAACTAAAAATTTATTTAAAATATGTACTATAACATAAGGGTGCATAGAAATTATGATAATATTTTAATTTATTTTAATGTATTTAAAGCACTTATATGTAGATATCTCATGATTTCAATGGCAACTAAGAATTAAGTAGGTTACCTATATTAGGATGAAAAACATGTTTTGTACCTGCCTGAGAGGTGATGATGAAAACTATAAAGAAACAAGACAGGTGGGGCTAATTTTACTTAATTATATAGATTCCTTGATTTAGTCTACACAGCCTTAGCATTTATAAAAATTACATAATTAAGATGTCTTCCTTAAAAGTGGGTTACATCCAGAGAGGAATGTGATGCAAGGTGATACTCAGTAAACAAGTAGGGAACTCCTATACTTCCCTGTGGCTGTTCTTTCTCCTTCTCCTCCTCCCTCACATCCTTCTTCCTTGCACACCCTTGCCCATCTCCTTCCATCTCTCCCTCTTTGTCTCCCTCTTCTCTCATTCATTCTCTTCAATCTGTCCTCATCAATTGTCACAGAAGAAACAGATTCAAGAATAGCTCTCTTGCATTTGTTTTCTGCTATTATTATTATTTAGTGTAACTTGGAGCTCAATCACAGTCAGCCACTGCTGTGAGGTGGAGTATAAAACACAGCATAATCTGCTTTTTTTTCATGGTGGTCTCTTTAGTTTAGAGGAATGCAGCCTACATGTCATAAGAAACAAAATATTATTTTAGTTGTAGCAACTTAGTAGCCAAAGTTATGAAATAAAATATATAAATACTTCTTTGTATAATATGCATATTATCAGAAATGCCAATTTATAGTCAAGAAAAGTAAGTATTGGGAATATTGCTCTTACAGGTACACACTGACCTTAGCCACTTTCCTTAGCCATGTTGTTTTTTTCCTAATTTACTCTATTCATCTGGCCATCACAGAATCTAAGTGATAATTACTGCTTATTAGAATCTAGGCATGTTATCTTACCAACTGTCATTTTTGTTAGAAAGATGGGTTTTGTGAGATGCAACTACAACAGATATGATGTTGTCCTGTATCAGACTTCACGGACTGCATTATTACGATGCCACATCCTGAAGGCACAAACAGCAGAAATGCATATTGTCATGCTTCTAGAGGCAACAAATTGCAGGATCAAAGTGCCATCTGTCTGGTAGGAGCTGTCTTACTGAGTTGTCATGGTTTTCCTATCTCTGGGTAGTCACATGACTTTTCCTCTTTGCTATATGGAATGAGTGCTCTGCATACCTTATTCATGTAAAGATGGTCTTTCTTAGATCAGCGTCATACTTTTTATACATTAGTTAACTTTTGATTTATTCCTTTTGATTCATTTCAAAATAGAATTTTATTGTGATTCTTTATACCGCTATATATTTTGTTTTGGGAAAATAGGGAGAAAGCAAATCTAAGGGAAGAATGAAGGTTGAACCTTAAGAGAGACAGACATAATTTCATTATGGTACTCTCATTATTTTTTAAAAGCGGGGTAAAGATGCTAATGCTGCTATTATATGGCATTGAAGTATGCATTTTTCTGGTTATAATTGTTTATATTTCTAAATTTAGTATATGAAATACTAGGGAAATTTTTGACTTTTATTTTATAGTCTTTGAGCAGATTCAGATATTGAAAGAAAGTAATTGATGTTACTGGAAATAAAAAGGTTTTATCATCATATATGTCAGTGTTTAAAAGTAAATGTTGTTACACTGTGTTTGACAATAACATGTTTTCTGGCCAGGCATGGTGTTTTCCACCTACAATCTTAGTGTTCAAGAATCTGAGGCAGTAGGATTATGGAGAGTTTGAAACCAGTTTGAGATATGTAATGTCATAGAAAGTCATAGAAAACTAAATGATAAAGCCTGTCTCTCTCAACAAGGCCTCCATGGTGTGGGGTGTAGTACAAAGTGCTTTTCTGTAAGTGTTTTCATTCAAAAACCTGGGTTGCAAATTCTGATCTTTAAGTCTAGGGACATTAATTGGCTTCTGTTTCAATACTTCTTAAAATTAGGGATAACAAAAGCAAAAAGTAATCATATTGTTTGTTTTTATAGGTAGGAAATCTAGATGTCTAAAACATAAAAGTTTTTGGCACATAGGAAATATTCCCAAATACTATTTATGATAGGATTTATAATCCAAATAATAGAAGAAAGGGTATGCTTGCAATCTTCACACAAGTGAAGATAATTAAGGAAATGTCATACTCCCATGTTTGCTTATTTCAACCAACGACTAGTCTAGACAAAGTTCATAATGCTTCTGTTCTTTATCAATAGAC